GACTTTGGTGTGAACGGAGAAAAATCTAATGAAGGTCTTGCTTTTCTCTCCTTCTTTTACTTCTTCTCTGTCTCTTTTTCCTCTCTCTCATTCTTTCTTTCTCTATTTCTTCCCCCTCCTCTCTCTCTTTCTCTGTATCAGTCTTTCTTTCTCTCTTTCTCTCTTATCTCCCCTCCCTTCTCTCTCTCCCTCTCCCCTCCTCTCTCTCTTTTTCTTTCTTTCTTCTTTCTTTCTCTCTCTCTCTCTCTCTCTCTCTCTCTCTCTCTCTCTCTCTCTCTCTCTCTTCTCTCTCTCTCTCTCTCTCTCTCTCTGTCTTTCCTCTCCTTTCTTTGTCACCCTCACTTCCATCTGCCCACCCCCCTCTCTCTCTCCTCCCCCCTCTTCTCTCTCTTTCCAAAATCATCATCATTATCATCTCACGAAAATCGTAAACTCGACATAGAAGCACGATAATAATAATAATAAAAAACGTCAATAGATCTAGAACACTCGCAGTGCTATTTCTTTCCTTGTACATTACTTACTTACATGCGATGTTCAGTGCGTCGGGTAAATGTTTAGTGTTGTGTATTTTGTTTTCACTTTTTCGTAGTGTTCCTTCACTAGATAATACGTGCATATATATGGTTTTGAATTTACGTTTGATTATGAGAGAGAGAGTGAGAGAGAGTGAGAGTGAGAGAGAGTGAGAGTGAGAGTGAGAGTGAGAGTGAGAGTGAGAGTGAGAGTGAGAGTGAGAGTGAGAGAGAGAGAGAGAGAGAGAGAGAGAGAGAGAGAGAGAGAGAGAGAGAGAGAGAGAGAGAGAGAGAGAGAGAGAGAGAGAGAGAGAGAGAGAGAGAGAGAGAGAGAGAGAGAGACAGAGAGAGAGAGAGAGACTGAGAGAGAGAGAGCGAGAGTGAGCAAGAGATACAGAGAGACAGACAGACAGAGAGAGAAGGGAAGAAAGAGATAAAGAGAGAGGATGTTTGGGGTGAAGAGAGGGAAAAAAATAAGAGAGACAGACACAGACACAGAGAGAGAGACCGAGATAAAAAGAGAAACAGGGAAAGAAAAAAACAAAACACGAAATTACGAACACACACACGATCAGAAATACAGAGAAAAAAAAATTGTTGGAATCGAGTTTTCGTCATTTTTATTCACGTGCTGCGACTAGAACCCTTGCTTGCAACTCCACAATCAAGCCTCATGCACTTGGCTATAGCATGTATTCTATGCGGCACGATCTTCGGGACTTGCCTCGTGAATATCTTATTCTTTGGATTTCGTAAAATTGCAAACTCAAATGGCGAATTCAGATTGCAGTCTTTTAGTCCTTTTCGCTTGCAGTGCTTTTTGGATTTCTTGCAGTGATTGCGGTTTGGGAGCGTGTTCTCCTTTTTTTGTTATTCATTCTTTATTTTGTTGTTCTTTCTTTACTTAGTTATTTTTTATGTATTTATTTTGAGGTTCTTTTGAAAACACTAACGCACGCAAACAGATACATACTAATAAATATGCAAAAAACAAACAAAAAAACATGCACAAACACACACATACACTCACCCACATAAGTAGCTATTATTAACTAGATATCTAAGATTCATTGCCCATAAAGCCACTTCATTGTCTTTTATATGACAAATATCTCTCTCCAATGTCGAATAAATAAAGGAATTTCTGCGCTTATAACGAAAACGATCACAATTTTTACCCCTGTCAGTATAAATCGCTATTAAAATCCTTGTTACCTCATTTCAGAAGTTAATCTGTTTGTATATGCGTTTAAACTTACATTCATACATTCATATATGCATATAAGCATATATGAATATATGATAATGGTATTTATCTCATGACTATTGGCATTTTTATCATCATCATTGACACTTAACCATGTATGTGCGTGAATGTATGATAATGACATTCATCTCATGACTGATGCTATTTTCTTTTATCATCATTATTGGCACTTAACCATGAATACCTTAGCTACTTTTATCCGAAGTAGGATATTTTTCATTGCAGAGATACCAGCAATGTCAGTACAAGAAGCAGCATCAACAAATGATTATTTACCTTCACTCTTACTCTCATTCTTTACTTTTTTCTGTACTAAAACAACAAAATGACAATTCTTTTATCTTTCCAACACTTGACCCCGAATGACCTGAACTTCTCAGCCAAGGGATAATTTATTCTCCATTTTTTTCTACATAATGAAGGTAGAGCTAACATACAATCTCTAACTTTTTTTTTTTTTTGTAGTGTGTGTTTGGTATGTGTTTGGTGTTTGCGTGTGTGTGTGTGTGTGTTGTGTTTGTGTGTGTGTGTTTGTGTTTGTGTGTGTATGTGGAAAATGAAGCAAGAGACCATTTTCTCCCCTTTCACATTTTCTTCATTTACCTATTTTTAATCTTTTCTAGCCTAAAAAAAAAAAAAAAAATAATAATAATAATAATAATAATAATGATAATAATAAATTAATTGATTAATTAAACACCCGCTCACTCTCCCTCAG